GCAGCAAAGGCCTCTGTCCTTCCCAACACTATTTAGACAGTCTTATACTCATGCTCTTTTATTTTTTTAGTTCTGGAGTTGGAACTCAGGAGCTACACCTTGAGCCACTCCACCAGTCCTTTTTTGTGATGGGTTTTTTTTGAGATAGGGTCTCATGAACTATTTGCCTGGGCTGGCTTCCAACTGTGATCCTCCTGATCTCTGCCTCCTCATTAGCTAGGCATGAGCCACCAGGGCCCAGCTAGAGCTCATGCTCTTATCTCCTTATTCTTACCCATGTTAGAGGGTAATTTCCTTTACATCTTAACTGAAGAACACATCTATTTTTAACTTTAAAAAACTATCACATGTAAACTAATTATAACTACAGAGAAAGCAAATATACCTAGTTATTTCAATTCTAAGGAGAACTGAGAAAAAAAAGATTGAAAACCTTTTTCAGAAAGGCTTCTGAGTATGAGTAGAAAGCTGCTCTGCAGGTGAGAGGCCAGTCAGACACCTATTTCTTTTCTGGGGAGTGGGGAACAGGAGCTTAAGTTCAGGGCCTACACCTTGAGCCACTACACCAGCCCTTTCTTGCGAGGGGTTTTTCAAGATAGAGTCTTGAAAACTATTTGCCTGGGATGGTTTCGAGCCTTGATCCTCCTAATTTCTGCCTCCTCTGAGTAGCTAGGATTACAGGCATGAGCCTGTTTCTTTATTAGGGAAGAAGAGCACTTGCAAATTAGACCATGACTGGGAGGGATGCAGAACTACAGACCTTTCTGAACCAAAGCTATTTCAAAGAAGCAACATTCTGCCAGTGTGAAACCCATCTAGGAATCTATTTTGTGGTTGTTTTATGTGCTCTGGAATGAAATAAGATTTATCTTTCTAAAGATAACTGCAACGGCAATGGGAATCATGCTTCTCTGTTGCTTCACCCAGTGTGATGAACGTCATCTGTTACCAAACTTTGGAAAAACTGAAGATGGAAGAAGCAACAGCAAGCAAGGTCACTAATGACAGGGATGATCACGAACTTTGGAAATTCTGACCTTGGTTCAAATGCTGGAAAAATTATATGCCATTCTTAGCCTTTCAGCTTCGTTATGACCACCCAAACTGCCATCCATCCTTGAATTCTTCTTTTCATCTGTACCACCTATCACATTCTAATTCTATTAGACATAGTAGCTCATTCCTTCATTCAGCATGTATTTTGGTCATTCTCAATCTAAGTTGTGTACCTCCCTAAATTCAGGGTTTATAAAGATGATTAAAACAGGGTTCCTGTGCTCCAAAAAACTTATTCTAGATGAGAGAGAAAAAAACAGAAAGAAATGTGATACATCCTGATTAGATAGCACAATACAGACATGCTGAGACATGGCAACATGTAATGGAAGAACTGCAAGATGTCATGACCAGCTCAGAAGATGTGACATTTGGGCTGGATCATGAAGGACTTACCTTTCCTTTCCTTTTGAAACGGGGTCTCACCATGGAACCATGGCTGGCTTCAAATTCAACTTTTGTACAGGAATGCCTCTATTTCTTTCACTGACTTTTTTTTTTTTTTGGTTGGACTAGGATTTGAACTCGGGGCCTTATGTCTTTTATTGACTTGAAGATAGGGTCACAGTTTTATAGCTTATATTCCTCATGATGCCTTTACCATGGTAGGTACCACATAAATATATACATATGCCATAAGTAAATGAATGAAATCTTAATTTGATGCTCTTCATGCAAGAAAAATATGAGTTTCAGAAATATACTTAAATTATGTTCTGACAATGGGTAAAACAAACTTCTTTGGGTACTCAAATATTTATTGATAAACAAGTAAAAGGACTTCAAATGCAAATTATGAAATAAGAATCTGTGCCTCTTCTTGGAAGACCATAAACCAGGAGGGTGCAATGCTAACAGCTGAACTGAAAGGGTAAAGGTTCCCTCCCTAGGTTCCTTTCTCAGTGCATTATGACGTAGTGCATTGTCCTCGGTCAAATGAGGGAACTGAGACAGAGAGAGATAAATCATTGGTCCCAAATCACACAATTAGCATAGGGAGAGGGCTGGATTCCAACCACTCCTCTCAGACTCCAAGCCCAGACCTTGGCTGCCAGGCCATGGGGCCTCACATCTGATTGCCCTGCACAATTAAAAAGGCCTAGGAATGTAAGGGAGCCAGTAATGAGAACCGCTACTCTTATGCAGATAAGCATTGTGCTATAGTAATGGTTACCTGAATTTTATGAGGACTGCAGAAGGTAATCTCTCAGCTCTTTAACAACTCAGACTAAAGAAAACTCTTAACCAATGCATATTTTAAAGACTCAAATGTAAATTTTTTAACCTAAGTCTTCCAGGGTTAGAAGTCAGATTTTGAAACATAAGTCATATCCTCATTATCATTGTTTAATTAGAAGATTCCTAGATTTTCCCACTATTAAGATATCCTGCAAGATGCCAGACATTCATACTCTGTGTGTGTGTGAGTGTGTGTATCCCCACCGCCCCTTGGCTCTGTTCTCCAGGCCACTTCTTGGGGGAAGCAGCCAGAACACAGTCTGCACAGAGACACTTGACGCACATCTCACTTATGTTTTCTGACTTCCTCCTTACAGATGGTCAGGTGGTCTTCCTGCCAAGGAAAGTCTGGAATAATCCATAGTCAGAAGGTCAGGGAAGAACAAAGGGTGTCATAAAGAAAAGGACAGGGAAGGGAAAAAAGAGGTGCTACAAGACAAAGAATGGGAAAGAAGATGAGGTGGAGTCTGCAAGAATCTCATAGGCCATGCCTAAGCATATCTCTGGTGTTCATGATGCTGATGGAGGTTTGCTTCCACAAGCCCAGCAGCAGACCGAAATGTCTGCACACAGATATGTACATCAAAATCTCTCTCACTTTTTGGATGGCCAGCATGGAAAACAAAAGAGGCAGACAGACAGGAAGTGGCATTTGTTCGTCTTGCACTGCTCAGAGAAAGGACACATGACCAGCCACTTCGCCAGAAGAGACCTCCACCTACTGCAGAGATGTACATAAGAAGTGATCAGTGCTAAGGCCACCAAGCCTTACTCACAGTCCCTTTCATCTATTACCCCTTACAACCTTCAGATTACATTTAGCAATTCATGGGATAGTTCTAGCCAAAGCTTTTATCATCACAATGAAACCACAAATAAGAGTCCTAACTGATGGGAAAAATAGCATTTTGATAGGCTAATTTCTAATTTCTCAGTAAAATTAATATATTTTAACTTTTAAAGAAAAGGTATTCTCCCTTCTCATAAACCACTTGTTCTTTTGTTGTTGTTGTTTGTTGCTTTTTTGTGGTACTGAGGATTTTACCCAGGGTTTCCTGAATGCTAGACAGGCACTTACCACTGAGCCAAATTACCAGCCCTAACATATGATTTTCTTAGACCTTTTCACCCATATCCTTGTCTCCATGGCACCCCCTTACCATATCCCTTAGCCATGTGCTCAGACCACACTATTTACTTTAAACTCAGAAGCAGTAACCTTTAACTTAGAGAATAGGAAAATAAGCAAGGATTCTGAGTTTAGACTTATCTTGGTTCAAATTCTAAATTTTCTCAGCAAATTGTGTAATTGTGACTTCTCTGAGTATAAGTTTCTTCAATCTGAACAGCTTTGGATAAAATACAGTGTCTCCCAAAAAAGTGACACAAAGAAAAGCAATTCAGAATCCATTAGTTAAGTGCACAGAGACTGGACTGTCAACAGAAAATAAGGACCTTTTCTATACATGCTTCAAATGAAAAGAAAGTGTTCCTTTTATTAATACCAAGGAATTAGTCATCAGTGGGTCTTTACATTCCCTAGGGAGTGGAGGTGTGGCTCAAGTGGTAGAATGCCTGCTTTGCAAGCAGGAAGCCCTGAGTTCAAACTCCAATCCCACCGAAACAAAAAAACAAACAAAACAATACATTCCCCAGGACTCTCCCCTCTTCTTTAGGACCTCGCTCAAGCCCACATCACATTTTCAGGTATTCTCATAAAGATTTCTTAGAAAAAAAAAAGGCTGCATTTAAAGGAGAAAGAGATCAAGGATACAGCATAAATTAAAATTATATCGGCAAATGACCAATCTTCACTTCCATGAATAACCGAAAGCTGAGCGAATTAGACATGATTTTGGCAACTAACTGGCAAGACAGCAGATTAAAAACACCGAGTTTGTCTCCCGATCTGGAGTGTGGAAATCAGTAGTTGTCGGACCTCCTCCTCTGCCCCACCCCCACAGTATAAAGGCTGAGTGGTACCCTTCCTAGGCCACCTTCTCCAAACCCAAAGGTCAATCTGATAACATGCCAGCAAGGTTCACAGAGCAGGCTTCGCACCTCCAGTGACCCCCAAACCTGCTGTCTGCTAAAAAGTAATTATACACAGTCAAGAAACAAAAACACACTGAGCCACAACTGGGTGATATCTGTGTGGCTGTCAAGATAATCAGAGAAAACAGGTAGCTGAAGACAGCAGAAAGCCAGGCATGCAAAAGGAAAACATCTGTGATTAAACAAAAAGAAAAAGAGTGGAAACAAAAGCCTGATGTCAGCATAAGGAAGAAGAGTTTCTCACGAGTCTGTCCTTGGATGCTCCATTCTGCCCTGATAAAGTACTTATGGATTTGTGCATTCGTTTATCCATTCATTCACTGTGCTAAGCACTCAGTGCTTTCAGGGTGCTTGTAATTGGTGCTGTGCCTGACTCAATAAAATAATAGCCTTTCATTGCCTGTGTGTTGGATGCATTTGTGGTTGAAAGAGAAGGCTCTTTGGGGAAAGTGCATGCTGTCTGAGCCCTTCCTCTCTGGTCAGGATTCCTGCTCTCTTGCTATGCTGGTAAAAGAGCATGGGAAATAAATCTGAAACAACTCCTAGTCCACCAAACTACTTTCTCCGCCATTAAGCCAAAGGGCACTTTGTTTTCTTAGACGTTTATGAAAGAATGAGCTATATAACGAGAAATGACAGCCAATTTATACCTGGTCTCTCAGCCTCTCTTGGTGGCCCATGATGGCTGTGGCATGATGGGGGTATTTCTGCTTTAGATGTTCCAGGAAAGCTTCTCTCTTCCTATCCATCTCAGATGTTTGCATTCCCAGTATTTCTTTGGAACTTCGGGGCCCACCTAGAGTGTGTCTCCTTGGGATATTTCGGGATGACTTGGAAACTGAAATGCGAGTGTTCCCATTAGCAAGGCGCTCCTTGGTCTTGAGGCATTCCACATCTTCTGGAGTTGTTACATGGAGATTGCTTTTCCCTTGCTCTGCAAGATGGAGGAAAAAAATACACAATTAATCATTTCACGCAAGAAATTTCATTTACAGAGCACCAACAGGGTTTGTGGCAGTCATCAATGTATCGATATAACCTAGCAAATCTTTTTTTCTTTTTTGCTTTCTTTCTTTTTCTTTTGGCAGTGAGAAGGGAAAAAAATATCCACAATCAGAAATATGAAAAATCATACTTTTTAAATAAAAAAAAATGTTGTAGCAAAAACTCTGCTATTCTAACTCTCTTTGCATTTATTCCGAACAAGAACAACACTTGGCCAGATAAGTTGTTTGTAAGAAATTAAGTTACCCCTACCCTTATCTGTAATTATAACAAAGTTAACTCCAATGATTCTAATTATTTCTGTATTTTAATTACAGTTTCATCCTGGTAATTGGGTTTTTATACGTTTTAATCTGAAGTTAGTTTCTGACACATGTGTTTCATCACCAAGAAAACAGCTATCACCCTCCACATAAGTCAGATAATCATTGACACATGTGAACCACTTGGAAATTCTATTTCTCCATTAGCATAAGCCAAGCAAGGAAATGAATATTATTAGAGGTAATAATGGAAAGGAGGGAAAGAAAAGATTGAGACATATTTCACTTGAAGTGGACTTTAACTAAAACACGCAAAGCAAGGGAAGAGCTATGGTATGTTTTGATAGCCTTGACCTAACAATACTGCCTCTAACGTGGCCTTGAAATGGGACAAGTTGGTTTCTACTTTGAACAGATCAACTAAGACATGCAAGGTCAATGCTTAGAATGCAGGACATGTGTAGGATATTCTCATTCATTCCATTCATTCATTTGTTCGTTCTCTCTCTCTCTCTCTGTCTGCCTCTGTCTCTCTGTCTTACTATTATAGTCCAGGTTGACCTCAAACTCTGGATTCTCCTGCTTCAGCATTCCTTTTGAGTATCTGGAGCCCACTATGCACTTCCCATTCATTCCCAAATGTTGAGAAATGGGTAGCCCAGCTGGAATATTCCAGTTAACTAAGAAAAGAGAGGTAGTGGCTTCTTTAAAAAGCCAGACCAGAAAGAGAAGGTACAGAGCATTCAGAAGCCCTTCAGGTTCTCTTCACTATCCCAGGCTCTCCCCACAGAGAACGATTCGTACCATACAGTCTTACAGATGCAGGCAGAATAAAGTGACTCTGTCCCCTGAATTCCCTGGAAAACCACTAGACCAGGTCTTGAGGGTCCTGGCTTTCATCCTAGATTTCAAACAGTTTGACCTCTCTCAGCTTCATTCTCATCATTAATTAAAGTGAGGGTGATTGAAGCAGCATTGGAAATATCAAGAGCCTTGTATCTCTAAATCCTTTGAATCTGTTCTAATTTTGTTAAAAGCAGTTTATTTGTCCGTAATTTATCTTTAAAATTAAATGCAGAAGAACAGATTCCATATGTGACATTCTGCTCTCTTATATCTCAGAGAGAGAGACCTAAACTTCATGAGTGATATAAAACAACAGGTGCCCAGAGTTTAGGCATAAGCCAGTCCGTAAAAGCAATGCCATCAACACACTTTCCTTCTTCCCTGCTTAGAAATGTCCCCACATAGACCTCTAGGTAGGGGCTTTTGGTTAGGGACAGAAAACACTTTCATATCAGGCTGCTTTCCTGTTCCAGTCTTCTGAAGCCTGATGCAAGTTCTGGGAATAATTCTTCTTGTTCACCCTTCACTTCTCATTACACTCTAATTATAGCATCTCCATCAGACACAGATGAAGAAAGGGAGGAAAAACACAGCCAAATCACTTAATCCTTCTAATTTTCATTAGTTTAGCAGTAAGTTTAAAAGGGGAGACAAAAATATGGTTAAAAATATGGTGAGGAAGTCACTGAAATTTCACTCATACAGGTTAGCCTCCTAATGCTCAAACTCCCATCACAGCTACCTTTTAGGGTCCTTTCCCTAGTAACATAGATGGAACAGGACCTCTTTTGCATAAAGCAAGATGCAAGTCTGGGAATGCAGCTCAGTGGTCAAGGTCCTGGGGGTCATCCCCAGCACCACAAAAATACATAAATAAATAAAGCTAGCCAGGAGCCAGTGGCTTATACCTGTAATCCTAGCTAAACAGGAGGCAGAGATCAGGAGGATTGCAGTTTGAAGTCAGCCCAGGCAAATAGTTCATGAGACCCTATCTCAAAAATACCCAACACAAAAATAAACTGGCAGAGAAGCTCAAGTGGTAAAGTTCCTGCCTAGCAAGTGTGAAGCCCTGAGTTCAAACCCCAGTCTCACCAAAAATAAACACATTAATAAATAAAAGTAAAAAATAAAGCTAAATGCAGCAAAAGTCATCTCAGGTTGATGAGCAAATGTGTAATCTGAAGAGGTCCAGCTTGTCTTTTGCTGTGTGTCACTCATGCATTTTCTATTAACCAAAACCACTATCTACTTGACATGACACTATAGACTTCTAAGTAGATTTTCAAGATTATTTTTGCCCTCATTGAAATAATGTATTGTTTTAATTTATCCAGAACTGCTAAGTTAATGATAGCTCTCTGAAAAGGGCTATCTTTACGTGGGCATCACACACACAAACACACACACACACACACACACACACACACACATATAAATGTTCATGCCATCCTGTCCCAACAACTGGCGAAAGCTGCATTCTGCCTGACTGTGACGCACCCACAGGAGCCGTTCATCAGAAGAGGTCACAATTGCCAGAACAGCTACCATTGGAGATTATAAAGAGTTTCCCATTTTCTTCTTTAAAATAAACTGGGAAAAGAGCTAGAAGGAGAGTCAGAGGTCACTGTGAATCCTCTGTCAGCACTAACCTCGACATCGCCCCACTGACTGACTCCACACACCCTATACTTCTCTAACTTTTTCACACCAACCTTACATTACTTTTCCATTTTTTTCTCTTTCTTGTGGATTTTCCTAAAATGTCTCCAGTTGCTTAACAAGGTTTAATGTGATTTAGAGGAAAGCAACAAAAACAGCACCGACAGTGAATGGGTCTGGAAGTTTCCACGAAGGGCCACCTGGCAGACATCTAATACTGGCAGAGCCCACCTCTTCCCTTTGTGTCACCTTCCTGCCTTGGGCTCCTGCCCAATGTTCTATCAGCCCCATCTGCCTCCTGTCCCACCACCAGGCACCTGCTCCACTTTCACCAGCACCTGAACAACCTAACCCCATACAAAGCCCTCCACACACTTTCTAGTTACCTGAGTTTCTTCCTCCATTCTTGTAAGCTGCCAACTCCTACACCTATGGTTAGAGAAGCAACAACTCTAACATCTCAGCCATTTGAGGGACAATATGGCCTTTTAACAGAGGAGAAAAATCCAGCAGGGTCACATATAAACCAGAGAAGGAACAGGCAAAGGAAATTTTGTCACAATTCCACAGCCATGGAGCCAGGGAGCCAACTCCCACCAGCTCCTCATTTTCTACATGAATAGGGAAAAGATCAAGTGTGGATTATCCAGGCCTTCCAAACAGAAATACAAGTCTATTTCTTGTTTGGTGCTAACACTTGAATATGGGTGTGTCTAGCTGTTTGCTATTCTGGGAATCATTCTAACAAAGTAAGGAAGCTGTACAGCATGAAGACGAGGCTTGGGCCCTGCTGAAAGACAGCCCTGTTTCTTCTTCCTGCCACTCCCAAACGTTGCACAGCCCCGAGCAACTCCTCCTGGGAGGTCCCTTGGAGCAGGGCAAAGAGCAAACAGGAGCTTAAAGTGGAAAACAACCCCTTAAACATTCCCGAGAGCAGAAGTGGGGAGGAGGAAGGCCAGAGAGACACTCTTCAGAGATCCAAAGGGCTTCCCCACTGGGATGTGCAAGCATTCTAGAAATTACATATGAGTGGGGAATGGGGTGGGGGCAGATAGCAAACAAGCAGAGGATTATGGGAACATCTAAAAGGAGATACCCATATAGCAAGCTATGCAGACAGGCAACTGGGGGAGCTGCCAAAGTTGACTTCTTTGCCACACTCAGGTTACTCCAGCTGGGTCAGCTGACCCTCAGCAAGGGATTTGGGGCTTTGCATCATCCAGGCATTTCACACCTGCTGTGAGCCAACAACAGTGCTGCTGGCTTCCCTGGGATATTTTATTTTATTATTTAGTGCTGGTGGTTGAACCCAGGGTCTTGCACATGCTAAGCATATACCCTACCACTAAGCTACACCCCAGCCTTCTCTGAGATTTTATTCCTGGGACCAGATGATTCTCTGAGATTCTACCGGGTCCCAATCTGAACCCAGGAATAAAAGAACTGCACACTTTTAGGAAAGGCTCCCCTCGCTTCTTTGCAGTGGCTTTTGGTTAGCCGTCTCTAACATGGGGCTCTTTATATTGTGTTCAGATACTGTTTTGCCTAGCTATACAACCTCTCTGAGCATAGTTTGGCACCCACAGTACTTACTATGCATTCAAACCATCACATTCTCGTGGTGCACACAAAGGAAGATTGCATTTCCCAGTCCCTTCCATCAAACTGGGGCCTCTTAAAATTCTGATCAATGCAACGTGGGCAGAAGTACTGCAGACCACCTTTAGTGGCCCCTGCACCTCCTAAATAGTCTTCCATTCTCTTTCTTTTTACTCTTTGGCCAGCTGAATGCAAAGAATCCACTGGAAGCCTCCTGAGTGGTGGCAAAGTGATGGGACAGGAGGACCCCGGCTGGGCCATCTAGGAAATTCCATCAGGCCAGGAATGTCACATTCAACTGTGTGTGAGCAAGAAACGAACCCTGCCTGTGCAAAGCTACCAAGTCTAGAGAGTTGTTCCAACTGTAAGCCTATCTGAGTAATAAACATTTTCTGTTGGATACACACAAGGGTCTCTCAGCATCCTTGTCAATATCATAGAGATTGCCACCATATGCAACCTGGCACGGAAACTAAGCTGAAATCAGGCCATTACATTGGTCTAAAAAAAAAAAAACCTTGAAACTTGAAGTCAATGATGAAAAAGATTCCTGGCACAGACCTTAGGGACAGTCTCTCCCCTACCCAGAAAAGCATTCTCGATCCAAGTGTTGATGATAGTTAATTGGCTGATTGCTTGATTCATTCATTCATTCACACAAATGTTCATGGAAGGTTTGCTCCATACACTGAAAGGAGTTAGGAGACAGATCAAGATTAACTCAACTCCCTTCCTCCTGAGCCACACACATGATAATCAGAGAGGCAGAAAGCAAACAAACCATATCAATCTGTGTGCCAGGTAGTGATAAGTGCTTTGACAAAACAGGATAAGGGGACAGAAACTGATGGGGCTGTTTCAGAGCAGAAGCCTGCATATCTGTCATTCCCTCAGCTGGCACTCCCTGGGAGGCTGCCAGTCAAGGGATGGAGAATCAACCAAGGGATGAACCACCTGCAAAGAGCTTTCAAGACCTGAGAGGCCAGAACAAAACTCCATTCCTCAGGGCTGCTGTGGGCAGACAGTGGCATCACAAGGAAGGTCTGTCACTTGGGAGGCCTTCAAAGGGAACATGATACAATTAGATTCAAATTCCACCAACAATTGTGGAGTGTCTACTCCGCCAATGTGCTGTGCAGCACACTTCCACGTGGGTTTTTAACCTTCTAGCCACAGAACTCTCACTGATTCGCGCTATTCTTGGTGAGATCATATGGTCCAGCCTGCCCAAACAGCTCTGGGTTGCAACTGTCACCCAGTGAAATTATTTATAGTGCTCCCTTTCACTGTCAAAAGTGTTTGGGTTTAGACAATAAGTTACATGATCACCCAAAGGATCATTATCTATAGTAGATTGATTAACTCAAAGTCCCTGGGGTGGCATAATTAAACATTTCATTCAACAAATGTTTGTGAGGTGCCTTCTTATATGCCTGGTGCTCCATTAGGTGGTAGGAATAAACAGGTGAATGAAACATGGTCTTAGCCCTGGAATACCAAGTTGTAATGGGTGAAATAGATACACAGGCAGAGTCAAGCTGAAGTACAATGGTAGATATGGGCCTGAGGCATTATCGGTGGCGTTTCTACCCTCCCTGGCAGTCCTTACGCTCACCAGAACAGTAAATGCAGCCACACTCCTTCACAGTGTCATAATTACACAAAACTGAATGAATCTTGGGGATCTAACAGGGATTAACTCTTTTTGCAATCTTTCCAATCTCCCTGACTTGTACATGCTGGGGTGCCGGGGTGCATCCCTTGGGCTTTCCTTCTGCACACAGTCTCTGATTTCTCATACCTCTCAGTCCTCTCAACTCCAGTCACCAATATGCAAATTAGGGTCAGATCTCCACATGGATGCCTGGTAAACTGCTCCATGCTGACACAAAAATACTGCTTCCGCGAACCCCCAGCCCATGAACACCCTCTCCTCCACCACTCTGAAGTGCTTTCCTGCTTAGGTAAATGGTAGCTCCATTCTTCCACCTGCCTGGATCAAAACTTTTGATGTCATCCTGGACCCTTCTTTTCTCTTACATCTCACATCCAATCTTCTAGTGAATTCTTTTGGCTTTACCTTCTATATACATCCAGAATCTCTCTTATCACCATCTCCTTATTACCACCTGGCCCTAACTAGCAGTGTTTGTGGCCTGGTTTACTTCAGAGCCTCCTAAAAGGCCTCCCTGCCCTTAACTGCAGACCCACTTGGGTTATGCTCCAAGTATCATCCAGGATTACTTTCTAAAAGTCAAGTCCAGGGGCTAGAATGTAGCTAAATGATAGAGCACTCACGTAACATGCACCAGGCCCTGGGTTTGATTCCAGTACCAAAATAAACAAATTTAATTAAATTAAATAAAAGACAAGTCCTTACGAGAAGCTTCTTACTTCCCTGGAAATAAAAGCCCAAGTCCACCACCCTGGATGACCTCAATCTCTTTGAACTTGTTGGATCCTTACTGTTGCTTCCTTCATCTTTGCTCATATATTACTTCCATGAGACTTTCTCTGACAAGCCTACTTAGTTTCACTCCCACCCCGCACTTACTATTCCTTTCCCTGCCTTATTTTTCCTATAGCCTTCTTTCTAGCTATTAGGGTTGCCAGAAGACATACAGAACATCCAGTAAAATTTGAATTTCAGGTCCATGATGAATAATTCTTTTGGTATCAGTATATCTCAGGCAATTATTGGGATATACTTATGCTTTAAAAAAAATTCACTGTGTATCTCATGTTTAAATTTAACTGGGCATCCTGTATTTTAATTTGCTAAATCTGGTATCCCCACCATCTACATGCTGTATATTTTATGGATGTGTTCACTGTTTGCTTCTAGCACCCTACCCCACCCCTCAGAATATTAATTCCACAAAGACAAGTATTTTTTAGTCTACTTTTTTCACAACTGGATCCCCAGAAGCTAAAACAGCAACTACTATACAACAGAAGTCCCAAATTCTTTGAATGAATAAGTCAATGAAGTGCCCACAGCTTCGGTCTGACCATCCTAGGCCTTGGAAACATCAGGGAATTGCTCTGGTTGTTTGAAAGTTATTTCTTAAATTAGTTAAATTCTAATTGCTCCCTCTCGAATCTGGATCCTTTTCTTCCAGGACAGGCCCGGAGGTTGAATTCTTGCAGTATGATCCCATCCCATCAAAAGAGAGGGCCAGTGGAGTGAGAGGTTTATCTCCCCCAGAACCCCACAGACCCCACCCTCAAGCATTGCTCAGCTTTGAAGCACAGACAACAAATGGGGAGTTTAGACCCAGCGTTTAGGAGGAAGCTTAAGGTTTTCTGCGTGTCTCTGGGGGATTTCTCTCTCTTAATTGTATTTTCTTCTGTCTGGCTTACTTTTGCATTTTCCATGAGGATGAGTCATGGGTTACTTCCCTTTTGCATTTAACACACACACACACACACACACACACCTTTTCCCCAGTGCCTAATCCCTACTCCCACACACAACCCTGCACTCCTGCACATCTTTTTGTTAGGATCTGGCCGCTGGCTGAACCTGGCGCAGGGTGGGATGGCGAGGGTTCAAGATTGTGTGTTCATCAACACAGTGCCTATCCTATATGGCATGCGCTGGCATCATAGATGTCAGACCCTGGAGAGCACAAAAGTGTCCTTGCCACCCCACCCCCCAGGCACAATTTCTTAGGAACTACACAAGCTTCTGGGAATTCCCTAAGGAAAATACAAGTCTATTATAAACACAATGAAAAGGAAACCGCCTGGAGAAAATTGACCAAAACTGTCTAACAATGCTCAACTTTTGAATTAAAACACAAAGAAGATCCAAAGTTCTAGCTCTCAACCCAGACGCTCAAGGAAGTACGCCTCAGCCTTTCTGATGTGCAAAATAAAACATCCCTAAACTCCGGGATTTAACTTTCAAATTCTGCAAAACTTTTGCAGCCCGCAAGCATTCCCCATCAATGAATGGACACGCCACTTCCTAGTGGGAGTTGCACAAAACCAGTTCCTTTCTGCTCGCCGCTAAAGCACGGGGGACAAATGACTAAAAGCTGCTTAGCAATTTATTTGTCACTGCCTAGAGATATCGCACATACTGCCGGCTCACCGGGCTACCAATGTGACATCAGCCAACGCCTTCCTTGCTTCTTAAAAATCTCACCAGAGATAAAGTGAAGCCCCAGAAGCCACCAGTTCCCCACTCAGTTTTGAAGACGCACCGCCCCCAAGAACGAGGTTTCCCCGGTGCCAGGCGCAGGGTCTCGGCTTTATAAAAAGCAGCGAGCGGCCAAGGACACGCGTCCCTGTAACTCCATCTTTGAATGACTCTGTTACTCACCCTGGATCTGTCTGCTGTCTGCTGAGGAAGGCCGGCCCAGCTCACATTTCTGGCTTTCTTTTTCCTCCATTGTCCCCTGGCCGCCCGGGCTCCTCGCTCTCTGGAAACTTCAGAGCGCACTTGTGAAAGCGCCCAGAGCGCGCCTGGAAGGGGCCGGGTAGGGAGGAGGGGACCGCGCGAAACCCCACCCCGAGCTGCCCTCCACTGCCGAGCACAGTCTCTCCCTCGCCCACCCGCCCCGAGGAAGCTGCATTCCAGCGCCCCGGCCTCCCCAGTCTGTCCGATCCGGTCCCCGGGGGACTGGGGGCTGTGTCCCCGGTGGAGGCGGCTGTCCCCGCCCCAACAGGTGACGACGGCCTTTCCTACCCAGGACTCAGCCTGCCCTGTTCTTCCCCGCTGCAAAGCGCTGAGACGCGGCCGCCCCGCGAGGAAGGCAAACATTTCACACTTGATTAGGGACAGGGACTTTTGCTGGAAGCCAGGGCCCTGCCCGCTTTCATCTTAGGAGCAGAAACGAGCCGGCTGATCACCTCGTCATAAAGAGCGAAACTGCCCAACCTCCGCGATCCGAGAGAAATCCCTTCCAAAAGGGTTTTGAAAGGAAAAATATCTGCTGAATGGTGAGAGATGAACATCACCTCCCCGCCCCCAACTTTTGAGTCTGATTAGCATCTATAAAGACAGCGAACTTCAATCCTTCATTTGGACTTTAAGAGTTTTTATTCATTTGCCTTCACTTTTTCTGGCTCCTCCCCTCCCCCAACACACACGTCCCTTGATCACAAATCCGAAAAGTGACCCAGTAACTCCATCTTCCGAATCTCTCCAGTTAATTACTTTAAAACATCTGAAAGTCAATTAAAATGCCTCTCTTTGGATGGGCAGAGTTACCTCCAATGTACTTATTCTCCTTTTAAGCCACCTACAAATATTTATTTTGTTCTTTACCCAGTCCTTGAAAAACTGGCAAATTTCCCAGAAAGTGAAAATAGGAGGCAAGATGTCCACGAAAAAGGATGGGGAAATAATCTAAGCAATGTTTGCCCTGGTATTTCAGAGGTCAAAACGCAACACAGTAACGGATAGAAGAGTTTGGTATTTTAATCCCAGACCCCTACATGATTGGAGGGGAAAGCACAAGGGTTACCCTGTTGGCCATACCTTGACCCAATTTGAGGCCATCCAGGCCAGGTTTTACCTTGATTTAGATCAGGAATGTGTGCAGAACAATGGTTGGCCTGTCCACCAGTTTATGACCTTAAGTCACCTGTGTGTTTTGGCAGCAGGAGGGACATATTTTGGCCACTTAGGGCATAAAAATGCGGAAACCCCTAAAAGACAAAGGATAAAGACTAAAAGGAAAGAAGACGTGGAAAGGAGAAGGTTATAACACAGGTTGGGAGGGGAAGAGCCCCTCCTAATAGGATTTTTCTTGAAATCCAAGAATATGCTGTGAATCGTCTAGAAAATTAAAGGTGTGCCTTGGAGAGTGAATATTGGCAGGCAGGTTTACAGGACAGATAACTCAAGGTCTCTGTGACTTTGAGACAGAATTACCTGGTAATCTTGCTTAAAGGAAGAACTAATCTTACATAGTTTCCATCCAGGTGGCCTAAAGGAGAATGCCCCAATGACGATATGAACTCCTTAGGTACAAAATGTTCATGAAGGAAGCCTCTCCTGTGTTCAGCCCCCTCCACCCACCCCCAACCTCCCACCCCAAGTCCAGATGATTCTAACTCTTGTATAGCTGTTATCTATTTGTCTTCAAGTTATTAATACCCAATCATCAGAGAGGCATTGATGGGTGGGGGTATAACACAAAGATACCAGCCTAAAGCAGAGTTTACACTATGACACCGGCGGCTTACTTGCTGGTGGGAAGATCCTACCTGTCATCTGACACAGTGCAGGGGCAAAACCCCAGGATGAAAGAGACAGCAGTAACCTGCTGTGGCCACCAGCAGCTAGAAACAGCAGGCTGCCCCCAGGCAGTCTTCCTGCCTAGCTCAAACCAGACAGAGAGAACATTTGTGGGTGCAGACAATGCTTTCTGGGGCTGTTTGGAAATTGTCAGAGCAGGCCTGTTGATCTCCAGATGTGGGAAGAGCTCCCACCACATCTGAATTCCCAGACTCCAGGCAGCTCAAGGAATTGCCTTTCTGTCCATCCCTGGTCCCCCCCCTACACTGACAAAGCAGGCTTGCCATCTCCATACATAATCCACCACGCAAAACTGTTTGTGGAATGCACCAATGAAAAGGGTAATATGACAAAGATAACTAACATAAACCATGAAATCAACACATATATTTACAGTAAAACATGTTCTCTGTTTTATTTGCTGGGGAGGGGTAGTGAGGTTTGAACTCAGGGCTTCATGCTAGGCAGACACTCTACCACTTGAGCCACTCCCCCATCTTTTTTTTTTTTTGCTTTTGTTATGTTTTGGATAGGGTTTTGTGCTTTTTGTCCAGGGCTGGCCTCAAACCTCAAACCCTGATACTCCTGTATACACCTCCCATGTAGCTGGGATTATAGATGTGTACCACTGCACTCCTGCCCCAAAACATGTTCTCTTGAGTGATCAAACTTTCTGGCCATTCTACAGGGAAAAGATTATTGGACTTTCGTTGTTCCTCCTTAAGAATAGGAACTGAAAACAATTTGAGAAGACTTCCTACCCATCGTGCCCCCTCTTGCACACACCTCTCCCTAATGCATATACACCTCGCTAAGGACTTTTCCTTTTGGACAACAGTAGCTCAATTTTGCAATCTACATAAACTTGGTGCCTCACATCTTCATGAGAAAATATTACTATCATAATCGCTGTTCCTGGGGAGATGTTCTTCATCCCAGAAGAAACACTCTTTGAACCAGAAGCACACTGTGCTTTTTGATTTAATTTAATTTCTGGCTTTAAAAATTACTGTTACCATCCAATCTGCCTACTGCCATACTCTGACATTTGCTGGAGAAATGGGAAGAACTTGAAATTTGATTTTCTTCCAGTCATATAGGAGAGCTACGGTAATGACACCTGGGGGCTAAATTTCCAGCTTCATTTCTGGAATTGTACCTGGAAAGATACAAGACTTATTTCTTGGTTAATGGCTCTATATGTTGCAATTTATGTCTTAAAGTGACCTAACACACACACACACACACACACACACACACACACACACACACACGTCATTGAAAAAAAAAAAGACAAGCAATAAGATAAAAGAGCTCTACAAAGACAAAGGTGATTTTTTTTCAGCCATAGCTACCTTATTCCAGAGCTGGACTTTTATTAGTGTTGATAATGTAACTTAAGTGGCACCCACCCTGATGGGGATTAATCATAAGAATCATAAACAATTGAGAATGATTTCTCAGCAGGCCTATTTAATTACAGGGCACTGCAAAACATGTCACCTCCCTTTATGTAAGTTTTTCAAGAGAGAAATCATTGCCAGAACAAAGTCTAAGTGGAATTGTCCTGATATGTGTTTAATTTTTTCTTTAAATCCTGTTAAGAGAAACAGAGTTAAAAATAACTTGGTATCAGGACACACAAGAAATAATGCTTGCTGACATCTTTAAATGTACTTTTTAAAGGCATTGATAACTGTGAGAATAAAACAAAAAGTGAAAAATAAACAAGTCAACAGAAATGTTTCAAGCAGAGGCCTCATGTCGTCTTTAGCTACAAGTTTTGTGTGCTTGATGCTTGCTCCTTTTGGTCTGTTTGGATGTATATTACACAATAGGGCTTTTAAGGGATAGGTTAATGTGTGTCATCTGGTAAGTCCAAAAGAAAGGACTTTTGACAACTGAAAAAGCACTTGCCAAATGGATGATCTAGTGAATATGAAATGTAGACTCCAATCCTGACGGCAAAGTGTCAGGTGGCTAGGGTGACCTTATCCTTAAATATAAACCACAGTACTTGGGAGAGGGAAAGGGGACACTATTAATAATTGTGACTGGCAATAAGAAGCCATGACTGTCCATGGCAAAGCAGCACAGATGGTTACTCATGTGTGATCCAAGATAAGTCCTATGTGATCCTCAGGTTTCTAAAGGTAAAATAAGCACAATAATACAGTTTGGGTTTCTTAGTGAAGGCCCTAGAAGAGAATTCAAAAAATTAAAGCAAAGGTGTGATCCTCTTCTCAGCTCCACCAACAATTTCAGAAAATAAAGTTTCCACACTCCTGGCTGGGGCTGTGACTCAAGCGGTAGAGCACCTACCTAGCAAGTGAGAGGCCCTGAGTTCAAACCCCAGTACTGCCAAATAAATAAATACTAAAAAATTTCCACACTCTGATGCATTTCCGTATGATTCATCCATCAATTCTCACCTCTGGAAAGCCCCATACTTCCAAATATTAAATTAAGTTCTTAATTTAACACATTCCTTTCGTGTGAAGAGTAAGGAGTTCACAGCTATGACCAGATAACCATGTTTATCTCCAGTAGTCTTTGCAGAAGGTAGCCAAGCTTCTCCTACATGAAATCCTTAAAATACCAGAACTCAAGGGACCCCTGCCAGCCAAGAAGTGAGGTTCCAAGAGTACCCCAACATTCAGATCTCTCTGAGTGAATGCTTTGTCCTCCTACCCTTCGTCACAAATTCCTCACACTATTATATATTGTAATACTAGAGTCAGATCCAATGGTGTTAATATTTTTAAGAACCCATTGATGTTCATTTTTATTGGGGTTCTTTTTTCTACTCTAAGTTGGGAGATTCAGCCCTGCAGAGCTGCCATCTGGGCTGCACATCAAGAAAGCAGGGCTCAGCTCTGCTTTGGGGTCACCACAGACCAAGTCTGGATTCCAGGTGGCAACTTTTAAGTGAAAACTGCAGCAGGTATATGCTCACCCCTTTTTATTCCTGAATGAGCTAAACCATGGCATGCTCCAGACTTCCTGGGAGTTCAGAGTAGCATTCATGAGAACTTCCACAGATACAAGTACCCCATTAGCTTCGTCCCTTTCCCTGGTGGTCCCACTATCAAGCCCTTTCAGTAGAGAGCACCTGTGGGAAGGGATTTCCCATCCATGTTCAGCTCCTGGGCTTTCCTTACATTCCAACACCCAAAGCTGCAGTGAGTTGTGAGAGGGGCAAAAACTAAAGGAAATCAATCACATTACCAGGAAACTGACTCACGCTTTCAGCCTCTTGCCCTCCCTCTCATTTTGCAGCTGAGCC